ATTATTTCTGTCCATACAACCACGTTCCAAATAACATAAAGCTTCCAAAACATTGAAATATTGATAAAAACAGTCAATATAAATGACCAAAAGCACTCCCATGCTTTACAGGCCCACAGCTTGAGAACAGAACATCCTACAGGGCTGTGGGCTCATTTTGTTCGTCTCGACGAGACGATTTCAGGCATATCCTGCATGTCTGTGTAGCTCCTACAGTTCGCCAGCAGAGACCAATAAAGTTCGCCTCCGCCAAATTACACTCTTCTTCAGCTCTCATACCTCCTGACACAAATGAAACTAAAGACCGCAGCCGACCTCACCAAGATGGTGGCCCGCCAGACGATCTCTGTGGACACAAAGTGCCGCAGTTTTTGGATGGAAAACAGCTAGAACAGCGAAAATCGATTACATACCCGGTACCGGGTCAGTCCGTTCCCATTGCGTTAAAGTCCTTTTAAAATGACCTTTTAATGTCTGCTGATGATGGCATGTGCTCAGTCCTGGTAGTCCTGGACCTTAGCGCTGCGTTTGACACCATTGATCACAACATCATGTTAGACAGACTGAGGCACTGGGTGGGGATCTCTGGTACTGCCCTAGAATGGTTTTTATCCTACCTGTCGAATAGGAAGTTTTGCGTGTCTGTAAACTATGTCTCTTCGTTCTGTCCAGTTAAATATGGTGTGCCTCAGGGGTCGGTCTTAGGACCCATTTTGTTTTCCTTGTATCTGCTTCCCCTTGGACATATTATCCATAAACATGGCATTTCTTTTCATATTTATGCTGATGACACACAAATGTATTTGCCCATCAGATCCACAGACCCTGAAATGCTGAGTTCACTTAACAACTGCCTTTGTGAAGTAAAAAAATGGATGTCAAATAATTTCCTCCAGCTGAACTCAGACAAAACAGAAATCCTGGTCATCGGGTCCCAGCAGATGACAAATCAAATACTGCCATCTGCTGGTTCGCTAGTAAATCACATTAAGCCTGTTGCAAAGAACCTTGGTGTTTGGTTTGATAGTAATTTAAATTTCGTGCAGCACACCACAAAGCTTGTTCAATCATGTTTTTATCAACTTAGAAATATAGCAAAAATTCGATCTATGTTAACTTTTAAGGACACCGAGACCATTTTACACGCCTTCATCTCATCACGCCTGGATTATTGCAACAGCCTTTTCACTTGTTTAACCCAAAAATCTACTGATCGAGTCCAGACTGTCCAGAACTCAGCTGCCAGGCTTTTAACCAGAACAAAGAAATATGACCACATTACCCCTATTTTAGCTTCACTACACTGGCTCCCAGTATGTTTTAGAATTGACTTTAAAATTTTATTGATCACTTTTAAAGCTCTTCATGGCCTCTCACCTTGTTATATTTCTGACCTTTTAGTCCCACTCTTAAAACACACTTTTATAGTAGAGCCTTTCCCGATCTTATTTGACTTATTTTATATTTATCTTAAACGTGTATTTTAGTCTTTTCAATGTTTTCTTGCTTTTATCTTGTACTGTTTCTGTATTATTGTTTTTTTTGGGTATTATTGTCTTTACACTTGTTAAAGCACTTTGTAACTTGTTTTTGAAAAGTGCTCTACAAATAAAGATTATTATTATTATTATTATATTATTATTTCATATGGGTTAGTGTCTGCATGACTAAAGTATGCATGTCAGTCATGTCACTTTAATGCTCCTTCACCATGAATTAAATAATGTGACAGCATCAACAAATTGGACATCACTTTTCACTAGCATTACCTGAAAAAGCAAATGGACTAAGTTCTGGTTAGGTTGGGGTTGGGTTATAGATTATAGATAGACTGATTAACAAATTATTACTGCAACAAAGTTGTTCATAAGTCACTACAACTAATGAAACTAGCACAGACAGTCTAACTATTACTATATGCTGCAGTCAATAGCTATGTATGGTGGGGCACAGGATTCACTGTCACAGCCTGAAAAAAAAAATGTAATGTGAGAGGTTTCATTTTTTGGAAAAACATCTCTTTTACTGTGATCAATGAAGAACAACAAAAGCTTGAAAATCAGACAAAACAAGCAAAATATACAACCAATGAACCACATTAGCCATATCTGCCATGATAGAAGGGCATAATGGACACTGAGGGGGCCCTCAGTGTGTAAAAAAAGGTAAAAATAATGATGTGACTAAACTCTATATCATCAGAAATAATCAAAAATCTAACTGAATTTCTTCATCTTGTGTGTATTTTTGATTAAAAAGCAGAGTTTGCAAAAGGTCATGATTAGAAATAAAAGCGATAAACAATTCTGTATTTTTAAACTGGTAGATTAACATTTTCTATTGTGCATTTTAATTCATCTATCACCACTAATGCTGTATAAATACATGACTGAAATTAGATAGAAGCAATGCCAAAATAATGACATGTATGTAAACTAAAATGATTGTGACTGCAGCTCTAATGTGCCCGGATGACAAACTAACCAGCAGACTAAAAGGTCTGCTCCCATACAAACACATTTTCAGGGCTTTTCACACTGACAAATTGCTGTCAAGAGACTTTCAGGATCACATTTGGGGATTGGACATCTGCATGACTACCCTCAGCAGCAGAGTGCCCCTTACGTCCGCCAGTAGCAGAGCTCTAGTTGCACTTCAATGTGAGCCATCTCCAAATAAAATAAAAAATCATCTGACAGAAACAGGGCAGAGTAAATGTGTTGTTTAATATACCTTTTTCCAAGAAAAGTTTTTTATGTAGTTCCTTGTAGCTGTGAGGTAAAAATACAACGATGAAAAAAACACCCTCGTTTACAACTGAATGACTAATATTAATTCATGCATTAGTCACAAAAAAGGCTTAGAAATTGCAACAGGACCTGAACAAATGAATATGAACCACCTTCATGTCTCTTTCATTCAGGAGTCAATTTATATGAAAACAATGATCTACATTGCTTTATAGTTTAAAACAGTTACACCTAAGCATGCCTCAGTTGCAGCGGGATGTAGGATGGACATCGTATCCCAGCGTTTTAACACTGGACCACAGATTTGGTACCCAAAAGGCGATTCAGGAAACAGAACAGGTTTGATAAAATGGTCCTTCTTGCGTCCACGAGGCAGCGATGAACAACAAGAAAGCAGTCTGCCCAAGAAAACAAATTAGAAAGGGTAATAGGAAGATATTCTGGTCATTAGACCAGTTACAGACAAAAACAATAAATTCTCTAAAAATCTTGAGGTCAATTGTAACGGAGAAGCGGCTTTTGTGGCTAGATGATTGGGTCAGGTGACTGAGTCGGGAGACTCAGTAGTGACGGCTGGTGGGCAGGTGTTTAATTGCAGGTCTGAAATGAAAAGAGAGGTTACTATACACAACACAGATTAATCAGATGAACTAAAGAAAAAAAAGAGGACAGAGGGACAGCTCTCACCATATGACGTGCTAGTATCGTTGCTAGTGCTTGTATCATTCTCTGCAATTTATCTTTTACTATATTATCACATACAAAAAATAAAAAATTTAAATGGTACAAATGGTAACACTTAAAGAGGTCATATTTTGCTTTTAGGCTTGTTCCCTTTCCTTTATTGTGTTATATATTTTTATGCATGTAATAGGTTTGCAAAGTGAAAAAGTCCACCCCAAAGGGAATTACCATCTCCCACAGAAAATACTGAACTGCCTGAAAACAGCTCAATTGTAGTCCAGCTTTTACTTCAGCAACCTATCTACATCACTTTGTAACACGCGTCATAATGCTTGCCTAGCGGCTAGTAAGGCATGCCCTCAAAAACACTGCAGCACCGGTGATTTGAGATCACTGCTTTTTATGAACTTTTGAAAAACATCAAAACAGAGCATGAGATTGCAAATATTTATACATTATATGTGACAGGAGTGCCACTAAAATCAATTATCATAGCAAGATGTAAAGTTGAATAGAAGCCACCTTAGCTTTAAGTGTTTTTCAGCTAATATGTGCTGACTCTGATTAAAATCTCTTCTTCTGATGAAAGAGCTGCTCTCTTTCTGGTGGCCCAAAGTCAACATCACTGGTGAAGCTGCAGACTCATTTTACTTCAGCCTTGAGCAAGGAGTGGTATTATTAGATTACCTGCGATGAAGTGAGTTAGATGTTATTGCCAGCTGCCTGGCTATTATGAGGTGCATGTGTGTGTGGGTCTGTGTTCAATGCCGTCCATGTGTGCACTTGTGAATGTGTGTGTGTTAATGTTTTAAATTTGCATTGTGAATATGTCATAGTCTTGGAAATACACAATTACCATCCATGACAACACTACGTCTTAGAAATTCCATGCTACCCTAATCTCCACTGGTCTAATGCACCGAACCCCCTGCAACACCCTTGGTCTAACTGCATTTACCTGTTGAAGCAAATCCCATTTGGGAAATTCAATACACATTCTGAATTAATGGTCTTCTCTCCATTATGGGTTAAGACTCATGGCACCTCTGTTTTACTATCCAGACATATTTAACTATCCGAATACATAAATGCAAAGGCTAAATAACTGACATAGCTTAAAGATCATGCTAATGCTGAAATTGCAGGAACAAAATATGTAAATATACAAGGACAAATGTGTGTGCTGTATATTTTACCAAGTCACATTTAGGACACAACTAATGACGATTCTCAGGCTGGGCAAGATATTCTCCAAAATTATCAAACAAGGGAGGTTTACTGTAAAAAAACAAGCAGCTTGTTCTTACAGAGCAGGTGATAAGATTAACTATAAAAGTATAAAATAATTTGGCTCAATATTTGTTAACATTTTGTGTAAGGACATACAGCTCAATACACTTTAAAATTAGGTAACAGCCTAAAAAAAATGCCTATATTTCAGATTTTTCCAGATGCAACTGATCGTCATTTCTTCACATCATAGGAAGTGACATCACATGTTGACAGCGTGGTTCAGGCACGCCTCCCTGAAAATAAGGAGAGGGGATCTACCGTGGTAGATTCAGAGGCAGACATTGCATTGGCATGGCTGTGTGCAGCTCAGCCCTGCGCTCTACATCCATGAGGCTCCTGCTTGGACATTTGGATTCTCTCTGCACAGCAAGACAGCCTTGATACAGAGCCGGACAGGGTAACATTGAGCTGTGCTGTGTTCTCACAGCATGTTGCAGGGCATTGGCAGATAGAGAGGGAATAATAAGGGGGGACAACCTTACCACACACTTGAGCGATGTTCCGTGAGCTCCTCTCTCTCTCGTTTCAGACCGTCAGGCTTTTCTGCACAAAGACCTGGGACTAATGGAGGGATGCAATGATTTTACTCTTTGCTTGTCATGCTTGAATCACGGCTTCATATATCCTTTTGTGTCAGAGACCTTATTGTCTTTGTCTGTCACTGCCGCCAGATCAACAGTGGGGTAGCGTGGCGGACAGATCCCCCTCCTCAACCCCCCTCTCCCTTGTCTGTGCCCCTGGCTTCTCGTCACTCCCAGTTTGCTCGTGTCTATTTACCTCTCTTAAGCTACCCTCCCCTCTCTGTTAAGCTCTGTCTTTCTTGTGCTCCCACTCCCTACTGCTTACTATCTCCCTCTTTTTGCCCCTTCAAAGTAGGCAGTCTGCTGTTCCATCCAAGCAGCTTGCTATATGATCTCCTGGAGAACAGTTTTCGCTGCTGCTCTGCCGTCTCACAATTCCTGAGTCCCAGATTTCTATCTCTCCAACAACAGCAGGATGTTCCTTCAAGAGGATTGATCCCCGTCCACCCCCTTTCACTTTCCCCTTCCCCTTCCTTGTCCTGATCTCCTGCCCTTTGACCCTCACCCTTTTGTTCTCTACCCCCACCCACCCTCTCCTATTTGCCCTTACCCCGAGCCTCTTTCCCCCATAATTCATTTCACCCAATTGACCATGTTGCCATGTGTCTGCTGGCTCCAACTTATCCTCATCTTGCTGTCCTTTGTCTCATGGACCCGGGGGGAAAACTGCCCAGCAACCTGCCTATGCCCAGATCCTCACACTGTGGACTGCAGTGGCCGTGGGCTGACCCGTCTACCCAATGAGATCCCCTTGGATGTGCGCAGGCTTTTGTTGGCTGACAACTGGATACCCCGAATCCCCTCGGACTTCCTGGTTCTGTACAGTGACTTGGTCTACCTGGACCTCCGGAACAACTCCCTCTCCCACATTGAACCAGGGACTCTTAGCACCTCTTCCAGGCTGGTCTTCCTGGACCTGGGCAGCAACAATCTGACCGAAATCCCTAAGGGGACGTTTGGAGAGTCCCGGAGCCTGATCAAATTAAGGCTGGGAAATAACCCATATCTGAGCATGGTGAGTGAGGAGGCATTCCTGGGCCTAACCTCTCTGAGAGAACTGGAACTGGAGCGTAATGCACTGTCTACCCTAAAGGTTGGGGCACTGAGTCAGTTGCCCTCCCTGCGGGTGGTGAGGCTAGAGGGCAACCCCTGGGTGTGCAACTGCAACTTTGCTAACCTGTTCACCTGGCTGATGGAGAACAGTCACAAGCTTCCAAACGGTAAGCTGCAACATGAGATGCATTTGCTTTCCATGTGCTTGACCCAAATAAAGCATATCTGAGCACAACATACAACAGTAATCCACTGTCATAACACTACTCTGGTCTAGTTATGTTTTCCCTTTCTTGTTCTAATTTTGTCTTCCTGCAACCCTATAGCCTATAATGTGAGACTAAGTGTGTAATATGAGGCAATAGCTCTTGCTTGAAAGTGAAAACTACAAGGATGCTTTGTTTTTGAAATATATTCATTTCAAAATTCAAAATAAGACACCAACTTAAAATGCAGATTTGTCTGATGTGAAAAAATAAGTACTTACTCATATTAAGAATTTTTGCTTGCAGTTTCTCTGGTTCCATATTTCAACATGCATATAAACTTAGCATTGACCCCTATCCTGCATGGCTGTCAAAATTGATAAATTTGTGGCTTATATTTACATAATACTTATTGATATAATAGTAATAATTAATTCTGTAATTCAGCAATTTCATCAATTGTTTTTTCCTACACCAATAAAAATCCTACCTCTTCTCTTATTCCTGTGTTGAGCGCCCTATCCATGTGAATTTTTAGGACCATACCATAGACTCAGTCGACCACTGTGATTCAGCCTAGAGGGTTGAGTTAGATAACAGGGCTGAAGTCTCGGTGTGTTTGCGTGCAACGCAATCTGAATTTCTGCATGCATATCAGAAGAACAACACAAGACAAACAGGATCATCACATCCCTTTAGATGTATTATACAATGGGTAAGATCTGCCTATTGGTCTAAACAGCCAAAGCTACTGGATTGTATATGGTTGCAAGATATATCCTGGATAAAACATCACAATTGTTCAAATCTGTATTTTTCATTTTAAAGTAGACGGTATAGAGTATATAAAAACAACTGTCAGAGGTAATTTTAAGGTAATTTATTCCTCAACAAATGAAGGTCAGCCATATGTGTATTTCTATTAATGTCCTTACAAAGGACACAGACAGCAGTTATCTCCTAAATTAAAGCCAGCACGTGGGAGCCGAGGAGGCAAAAATAAACAAATCTGACAGTTCAGCCACACATGACTAGTAGCTTGTGGTGTTATATTTAGATCAGTGTACATTTGACGCATTACATGATTTTAGATTAATCTGAGAATATAGTTGAATTTGACTTGGTGATATATACTGATGGGTGTACAAGGTATATTTTAAATAAATTACTCAGGTCTGTAATACTGTAAATTATGTTATGTAGGTATAGGGAGATATAAAGGTGTATAGATAAGGAGTGGGAACATTTTTTTTAGTCACTGTTCCAAGGTGGTTTAGGCTATATATAAATATATAAATATATATTATTTTTAGACGTAAGAAAGGATTACAGGCATAAGATATGAAACCTTAAATCCAGGCAAACTGGAAATCAACCTAACCCAAAGTGATCAACCTAACCCCATGAAAGTGATTAAATGTCAAAGCCTCTGGATTAGAGCTACACGACATTGCAATATCTTTTTTTCAGTGCTATATATAGAGAAATGAAAACATTGTACTAGATACAAGAGGTATGTTATTCATGTACACATATATAATTAACTAACATAATAATTCATCATTTGGGCACTTTAAAAGTCTAGCTTCTTCTAACAAAACAACCCCACCCCCACTTGGTTCAGGTCTCCCACCCCTTCATAAATCCGCTTCTATGCAACTCTAACACTGGCATGGACAAGTGGAGAAGTATTTGAAAAAAAACACACACACATACACATTTCTTAATAAACTTTACAAATGGACTTGTTGTGGACGTGTTGCAGTTGTGTTATTTACATATAAACTACCATTTCCAACAATGTTCAAATGCTTAATCTGCGTGGTGAAAGATACATAGCCCCCCTGGTGCAGCAAAGGATGGGAAAACTCTCAAACTCAAGCAACAAACAGATTTATGTATATGCCAGCAAGATGTAAGTACAGATAGATCTGGATAGTGCAAGTTTTGTATGTGTTTGCATGCATGTCTTACTACCACACCTGTGACAGTAACTTATTAAAAGGTACAATGTGCAGTTTCTGGGCACATGCTCCAAACAAATAGGAGGCAGCATTTCACCTCAAGTGGTGGCAGGTGACAAAAAAACGAATGAGGGCACGTGTAGACTACACGACTTTCAGCGTCGGCTGATGGCTGTGCTGTTCACACTACACAACTTGCCGACTTGATGACGTTGTGGCGACACTACATGACTGATAGTAGACAGGGGGTCACACACTACACAAACTGACATCGACTGTCACCCGACGCTGGTCTCCAAACCAAGTTTTTTCAAGAAAACACACGTGAAATATGAAACCGGAAATGATGCCAACCTACAGATGAAACAGCTGTTTGTTATTATAAAGATAGCAATTATAAAGTGGGAAGTGAGTAAAAAGTGCATGCATCGTTGAGTAGTTCACACATAACAACTGGCGGCCGCAGATCGATCGCTGATTTACCCCTGATCACAGCCTGACGGTCGCTGAGCTCACCGACCAGCAAATCCGGCCAAAAATCGTGTATTGTGAACTAGGCTTGAGAGGTCATGGAATGAGAGGGAGAGCAACTCATGCAGCAGCATTGATTGACAAGCTCTGGGGGCAGCTCCGTCATCCTCTCATGTTAGACAGCAGGCAGATTGGACACTACAGTGACTCTCGCATCTCGATTATTGTGGTATTAAAACACGGGCCAGGGCTAGCAGGTTAGCATGCTAACTGAGCTGTTACTTCTTCACATTCTACTGACCATTTTGTTTAATTTTTGAATTATTTGAATTTAAATTCCAGCCAAATCTTACATATTACACCTTTAATGTTTAACCAGCAACGAGGTGAGGTGAATAAACACACTCAATAGCCTCTTAGCTTGGCTGAATGGCTGCCTCTAGCATCCAGGGAACATTATCTCTGGCAGTAGCCCTTCTCGCATGCATTTTTACAGGCAGATGACATACAGACTCTGAGATCAGTTCATGTGCTCTGGTGAAGGGGTGCGTCTGATCAGTGTATTGAACAACACACAGCACTCTTTTTCAGGTTGTGGTAGGCAACTATTTGGTTTGTTGATACAGTGCACAACCTTCACGAGGGCACAATGGGAATTGATTAAACTCTGTGTATCCAAGACTCCTCGGACAAAATGTATCTCTACAATAACTAATTCTCAATTTCACTGCTCATGCGTAAGCACCAGTGTTAGCTAACAATTAGATAAAATATGACATTTTATAGTGGTAAGGAAATGCCAAGCCAACATTGGAAATGATAGGGTGGGCTATCAGCTAGCTAAAGTCACATGGCTTATTTTAAGTAAAATAAATGCTAATTATAAAAATCAGAGGGTAGGAATGTTTAGTGTGTATTAAACAAGCTAGATAGCTGACATTAACCTAGTATCTCCACATGCACGTGATGCATTGGAATAGAGACGCTGCGAGTGTATGGTCCATTTTAGGGGTGTCAGAAATAGTATTTCAAGGGAGGGATAAATACAGAAAATATATTGTAATATTTACAGTTAGAGGTTAGACCTCCCTGAATTTTTGTTTTTGGTCCAAGTACTAATTAAGGGGGTCGGACTCCCCCACCACCACCATGAATGTGACTATTGCACATGCGCACATCGCTGAGTCGATGCAAAAATTATACACCATGCAGTCGTACTCTAGATATGGATATCATGATGTGTCATATTGTAATTAAGTAAAATACTTATTAACAGACATTGTTCTATTTTCTATTTGCAAATTTAAATGAAAATCTTCAAATCCTATTATGATCTGGCTTGCGAAAGCCTTTACACAGCTCCCCTAAAAACTCTGGCTGGCTGTTGCAAACTGCTGACAACTCACACAAGCAAACTTCTTGTATACATTTAGGCCATGGTGTACCATTCTATTGATACTGCTTTCGCTTTTCCTCTCCAGTCCTGCATTTGCCCCCAAAACAGACACTTTTGGGCCTGTGAGGAAGCAAAGTTGATAAACTGGCAAGAATACCTAATTCCCCCGGGTAAGAGGTTGCAAATGCATTAATCATGGGTTCCAAGTATTGTCAACTGCAATGGATAATGAACTGCATTAGTAGTGCTGGCCAGGCAGACATCAACAACCAAGAAGAAGGCAAAGCCCCAGCCAAGCTGCTGGCATGGCTGCCAACTGGCCTATAGTGTATACTCACACTCAAATTGAGTTATAATGCGTATATCACCTCATATGCAGCTTTACATCCCCATCAGTCTGTTTGCTTTATGATGATTCCACATAACACACACATGCTTATTTATTTATTTATGGTTAGGAACAAACACAGTATACATACACCACATCTGGTGCAAGTATCATAGTGTTTATATCAGAGGCTATTTTGCAACACCTGTCCCTAGACAGGCTTTTATGAAATAAATTAGATTAAATAGCGAGGTAAAAAGTAGGTAAACAGCAAGACACAATAAAGCATACATTTAAAAACATGCTTATTTGTATGGGGTATCTGAAGTGATTATCAATTGCTTTGGGCAATAAAAGTTGTATGGAATGTACTTTGTTATGTCAATAATGCTGTAGGAGTAACACTTTAGCAAAAGGAAACTTTAAACTTTAAAATTATTTTTCATCTATAAGGCTGTTCTCTTTTAAAATTATTTCTATCACAGGTCAGTGAAGACCAAGAGATGTTTCACTGAACTTATAATATTCTCTTAAATACAAGTTTTAAAGGGGCTATATGTAGTTTTTCAATGAAATTACTTCTTAATAAATCAAATTTTCATTTCCTTATTGTCAATGGTCTCAAAACTCACTTAGAAATGAAGCACACAGCTGTTTTCTCTGTTGCTTGCATCAGCCACTATTCTGCTATAAATGCGAGGACACCCGGTCGGATTCAGCAACAACTGGTTCCCAGCAAAACACAGAATCCACGTAAGGATACAAAACAACAATAAAGGTTTATGTGCTGAAGCCCATCAGA